CGGGCCTTCCTTGGGCCCTTCCAGCTCTCCTGGGGCCGTGGGGGGCCCTCCTGGGCCGCCTCGGGCGCTCCCTCGGGTCGTCCTGGGGCCCTGCGTCACCTCCGGACTCCCCCGTGGGCCGTGCTGGGGCCCTGCTGGGGCTGGCGCCGTCTTGGGGCGGCCGGGCCGTCCTCGGGCGTTGTGGGGCCCTCCGCGGGCCCGCCAGACCGCCCTCGCTCTGAAGGAAGACAGCCTGAGAACCCACACGAAACATGAGAAAGTCCTGGCGCACCAGACATCGACCTCTCTCGAGGCATCCTGCGGTGCCTTGGGGGCGGCTGGGCCGGGCGTCCTGGGAACCGCCTGGGCCGTCGAGCCTCTCGAGGCTGAAGCAGCCCCCACGAAGCCCGAGAACGGCTCTGGGACCCCCAGGGCGAGAGTGCATACTGGGGGGGGTCGGGTAGGGGGCCGCACGTGAACCCTACCCCTACCCCCTGCGATTTTGGAGGGGGAGGGTTCCCCAGATCGGGGTCCATTTGAACAAGCGTGCTGCCCTGGGGGCCCGGGGACCCAGACGGCAGCGAGTGGCAGTCGATGAGCGGCCTCTTGCTGACAGCATCCCAGGCTGCACGGACGTCGCCCGCTGTGGACAAGATGCGATACAAGGATCTCAGGGCCGGGCCTCCGGCGGCCGTCCGGGACGATCCTGGCACCCCGGGACGCCTCACGGCGAGGCGCGGCCGCCGGAGCGCACCCCGAGGCATGGACAAAAACGCCCAAGACCGGCCGGAAGCCTCGAAAGCCTCGACCACGGGATCTCAGGGTCAACGACCCGTCCCCTGTCGGGGAGGCGTAAGGCTCGGCGTCGGGGGACTCGGGCTGGCCTGACGGGGCCGTGAAGGAGAATGACGAGACCCAGTCCGAAATCTGGCGCGAGCTCCCCCTGCAGAGACCCAACGAAAATCGGACCGTCAAAATCCAGGACGGGCCCGTCAAACTGCGTCGGCAACCCGAGCTCCAGCGAACTCGAGTCTTACGTGATTCGTCGCCGCCGCCGCCGCCGTCGTCGTCGTCATCCACCGATCGGTGACTCCGAAGGGTGCGGTTTTTCTCGCCATCGCTCCAACGTCCCATCCCCTGGCGGTTTTCCATTGCGCGCGTGTCTAGATCATCCAAAATGCTCATCGATGGTCCTTGCCGGGGAAGAATGCACACGTCCGAGCCGTGCCGAGGTTTGCAGAGGGTGTGGCTTGCAACTGGCACCCAGGGGGGGACCCTTGGGGGCGGGCGGAGACCTCGATAAAGTAGGGGCTCGATCACAAGAAACCTTCCAGGAGAAACCCAACCCTGAGACCCCAGGCCGTCCACAGACTTTTGGTGCGGGAACGCCACGCTGTCCCTCGCAAAACCGTCGAAACCCGAGAAACCCAGGGCACCCTGGAGGCAGGCAGGGTGTTTCTCGGCATGGGTCTCCGCTGTGTAGAGCCCGCCGCCGCGCCTCGTGGCGGCCCGACGAGAGCAGCGACGTGCCCCCAGGCGCCAGCGGCGCCGGTCGCCAGCCACACCCCGGCGGACAGTCGCAGTCTGTAGTAAGGAAGGGCGGCAAGGACGCGAGGGCCTCGGTCGCCGAAGTTGGCATTTTTGGGGACGGCGGTCCGCCAAAACCCTGAGGGGCTGGCCAGCGAAAACCTCGAAGGGCGAGCCGCAGAGGCAAGAACGCAGGGGTGCCCAAATGACAGTTGTGCGTCCTTGCTATGAGTTTTGACTTCAACCACACCCTTCGCAGTCGCCGACCAATCGACCTGGCATCGGCGACACAGCGCGGATACACTCGCAGTAGTGGAGCCCCACTAGCGACACCCCACCGCCCTTCGCGGCGCGAGCGAAAGGGCCCTCATCACGCGTGGAGTGGGCGATTGTTGGCGGCGCGCACAAAGGGGGTAGGGGGAAGGGGGGAAGGTTTCTCAGAAGGAGGCTGCTTCTTGGAAGGCGCTGGCCCTACACCTGCAGACAAGGCCGCGCCTTCCCCCCCCCCCCGCCCGCGACAAGAAGCAGGGGTGCTTCTCGGAAGCCTTCCCCCCTCCCCCTTCCCCTGCCCCCCTGCGCGTGGCCGAGATTGAGGGCCCATGCATCCCACCCCCAGAGCCCATCCCCTCCCTGAGACTATTCTTAAGTCGGGCGTATCCCCCTACAGGGGGATTTTCGACGAAAAATGAAAAAGACCCCAAAAATACTAGTACAAAAATAGTCTGAATGGTTTTTAACTGCTGGGGGGTATTTTTAGAATATTTTTCATTTTTGGGACAGGCCCGACTTAAGCTTATTCACACTCTTCGTCGTCGCCGAACCGACGCCTCGGGGCCAGCCCGCCGCGGCCTGGCCAGGCCGAAGGCGCCGCGGCCCGCCTTGACGCGGAGCCCAGCGGCGCTCGCCGTCACCGCGGCGCCCTCCCGCAGCGCCGGCATCGCGAGGCGGGCCACGGGCAGGTAGTGGGAGGGGATGCGCAGGTCGACGCCTTCGCCCGCCGACGAGGACGACGAGGACTGCGAGGACGACGAGGACGGCGAGGACGACGAGGTCGGCGAGGACGACGAGGCAGAGGTCGGCGAGGACGACGAGGACGACGAGGTAGTGGGCGGCGATGCGCAGGTCGACGCCTTCGCCCGGTGAGGATGACGAGGCAGAGGTCGGCGAGGACGACGAGGACGACGAGGTAGTGGGCGGGGATGCGCAGGTCGACGCCTTGGCCGGTCGACGAGGACGACGAGGACGGCGAGAACGACGAGGACGGCGAGGACGACGAGGACGGCGAGGACGACGAAGCAAAAGTCGACGAGGACGACGAGGACGACGAGGTAGTGGTAGGGGATGCGCAGGTCGACGCCTTCGCCCGTCGACGAGGACGACGAGGACGGCGAGGACGACGAGGACGGCGAGGACGAAGAGGCAGAGGTCGACGAGGACGACGAGGACCACGAGGTAGTGAGCGGGGATGCGGAGGTCGACGCCTTCGCCGGTCGACGAGGACGACGAGGACGGCGACGTCGGCGAGGACGGCGAGAACGACGAGGACGGCGAGGAAAAAGAGGCAGAGGTCGACGAGGACGACGAGGACGACGAGGTAGTGGGCGGGGATGCGCAGGTCGACGTCTTCGCCCGTCGACGAGGACGACGAGGACGGCGAGGACGAAGAGGCAGAGGTCGGCGAGGACGACGAGGACGACGAGGTAGTGGGCGGGGATGCGCAGGTCGACGCCTTCGCCCGTCGACGAGGACGACGAGGACGGCGAGGACGACGAGGACGGCGAGGACGACGAGGCAGAGGTCGGCGAGGACGACGAGGGCGACGAGGTAGTGGGCGGGGATGCGAAGGTCGACGCCTTCGCCCGTCGACGAGAACGACGACAACGAGGACGAACGAAGAGGACGACGAGAACGACGAGGCAGAGGTCGATGAGAACGACGAGGACCGCGAGGTGGTGGGCGGGATGCGCAGGTCGACGCCTTAGCCGGTCGACGAGAAAGACGAGGACGACGAGGACGACGACGAGGCCGACGAGGAAGAGATCAACGATGACGATATAGGGACGACCCGGACGACAAGGCAGAGGTCGACGAGGACGAGGACGACGAGGATGACGAGGACGACGAGGACGACGAGGACGACGAGGCAGAGGTCGACGAGGACGACGAGGACGACGAGGTCGACGCCTTCGCCAGTCGACGAGGACGACAAGGACTACCAGGACGACGAGAACGACGAGGCATAGATCGACGAGAACGACAGGTCGACGCCTTCGCATGTCGACGAGGACGAAGAGGACGAGGACGACCAGAACGACGAGGACGACGAGGACGACGCGGCAGAGATCGACGAGGACGACGAGGACGAAGAGATGGTGGGCGGGATGCGTAGGTTGACGACAACGACGAGAACAACGAGGACGACGACGAGGACGACGAGGCAGAGGTCGACGAGAACGACGAGGACGACGAGATCGACGAGGCAGAGGTCGACGAGGACGACGAGGACGGCGAGGATGACGAGGACGACGACGACGACGAGGACGACGAGGCAGAGGTCGACGAGAAGGACGAGGACTACGAGGTAGTGGGCGGGGATGCGCAGGTCGACGCCTTCGCCAGTCAACGAGAACGACGACGTAGTGGACGAGGACGACGAGAAGACGAGCACGACGAGGCGAGGACGACGAGGACGACGAGGACGATGAGGACGACGAGGACGACGGCGTAGTGACCAGGGATCCGCAGGACGACGCCTTCGCCGGGCGACGATAACGACGAGGACGACGAGGACGATGAGGACGACGAGGACGACGACGAAGAGGTCGACGAAGTCGACGAGGACGACAAGGACGACGAGGTAGTGGGCGGGGATGCGCAGGTCGACGTCTTCGCCCGTCGACGAGGACGACGAGGACGGCGAGGACGACGAGACAGAGGTCGACAAGGACGACGAGGACGCGACGAGGACGCAAAGGACGACGAGGACGACGAGGACTACCGGACTACCACACAAAGGTCGGCAAGGACGGCGAGGTAGTGGGCGGGGATGCGCAGGTCGGCGCCTTCGCTGGTCGACGAGGACGGCGAGGACGACAAGGACGACTTGGTAGTGGGCGGGGATGCGCAGGGCGACGACTTCTCTGGTCCACGAGAACGACGAGGACGACGAGGACGACGAAGACGACGAGGACGACGAGGACGACCAGGTGGTGGGCGGGAACGCGCAGGTCGAAGAACACGACGCGGGCGACGATAACGACGAGGACGACGAGGACGACGAGTACGACGATGTCGACGAGGACGACGAGGACCATGGCGATGTGGGCGGGGGTGCGCAGGTCGACGCCTTAGCTGGTCGACGAGAAAGACGAGGACGACGAGGACGATGAGGACGACAAGGACGACGAGGACGATGAGGACGACGAGGACGACGAGGACGACCAGGTAGTGGGCGGGGATGCGCAGGTCGACGCCGGCGCCAGTCAACAAGGACGACGAGGACGACGAGGACGACGAGGCAAAGATCGATGAGGACGACGAGGACGACGCGGACGACGACGCATAGGGCGACGAGGACGACGAGAACGACGAGGCAGTGGCAGGGGATGAACAGGTCGACGCCGTCGCCAGTCGACGAGGACGACGAGGACGACGAGAACCACGAGGACGACGAAGCAGAGGTCGACCAGGACGACGCAGTCGACGAGGACGACGATGACGACGAGAACCACGAGGACGCTGCCGACGAGGTCGACGAGGACGACGAGGACGACGAGAACGACGAGGACGACGAGGCAGAGGTCGACGAGGACGACGAGGACGACGAGGTAGTGGGAGGGGATGCGCGGGTCGACGCCTTCGCCCGTCGACGACGACGACGAGCACGACGAGGACGAAGAGGACGACAGGGACAACGAGGCACAGGTCGACGAGACGGACGAGAACGACGAGGACGTTGAAGTTTTAGGCGGGGATGCGCAGGTCGACGCCTTTGCCGGTCGACGAGGGCGACGAGGACGACGATGTCGACGAGGACGACGAGGCGATGAGCGGAGATGCGCAGGTCGACGCCTTCGCCAGTCGGCGAGGACGACGAGAACCACGAGGACGACGAAACAGAAGTCGACGAGGACGACGACAACGAAAAGGTAGTGGGCAGGGATGCGCAGGTCGACGCCTTCGCTGGTCGACGAGGACGGCGAGGACGACGAGGACGACGAGGACGACGAGGACGTTGACAAAGAGGACGACGACGAGGACGACGAGGACGACGAGGACGACGAGGTGGTGGGCGGGATACGCAGGTCGACGCCTTCGCCCGTCGATGAACACGACGAGGACGACGCGGAGGACGCCGCGGAGGACGACGAGGCAGAGGTCGACGGGGACGACGAGGTAGTGTGATGGGATGCGCAATTCGACGGATTCGCCCGTCGACGAGGACGACGAGGACGACGAGGACGACGAGGACGAAGAGAACGACGAGGACGACGAGGACGACGAGACAGAGATCGACGAAGACGACGAGAACGACGAGGCAGAACTCGACGAGGACGACGAGATCGACGAGGACGACGAAGCAATGGGCGGAGATGCGCAGGTCGACGCGTTCGCTGGAGGAAGAGGACGAGGAGGACGAGGAGGACGTTGAAATTGTGGGCGGGGATGCGCAGGTCGACGCCTTCGCCGGTCGCTGGTCGACGAGGACGAAGAAGACGAGGACGAAGAGGACGACGAGGACAACGAGGCAGAGGACGACGAGGACGACGAGGTAATGGTCGGGGACGCGCAGGTCGACGCCTTCGCTGGCGCGCCTCGCGCGCGAACTCTCGAGTCCCAGACACGCTCGCGTCGTTTGTTCTTTCACACTATACATATTTTTTTTTATATATATATATATATATATATATATATATATATATATAATCCGCCGGCCCCCTTGTGGGGCCACCAGGCTGTAGGCGCGAGGTTCGCAGTTTCCTGTACCAGTCGTAGGTTGTAGTTTCCAGTGTTACAGTTCTGCTTCTTGCTGGTTACTGTAACTAGTTGATTGACCGCGCGAGGGGGGGGGGGCCCAAACGGGATTTTTTAGCACCCCCTGGGCGCGTTGTCTGAATTGCTGGGGGGGCTCGAAATCGACACCCCTCACGCAGATCCGCGGGGTCAGGGTCCAAAAACACAGGGGATTTGCCACATTTCTGAAATTCGGTGCCACCCCTCAGGCAGATCCGCGGGGTCAGGGTCCAAAAAACACAGGGGATTTGCCACATTTCTGAAATTCGGTGCCACCCCTCACGGACATCCATCGCAAGGCGTGGTAACCCAAACTGCGAGTACTCCCTCGGCCCTTTAATCCCAAGGTGTGATAACCAAGCTCGTAAACCATACACGTCTTACCAATCGCCCTGTGTGGTAACCCCTCTTGTGATCAGTTGGTTTTGCCGATTGCGAATCGACCTCGCATGAAGATCCGATACTGCTGCACGACAGCGCCAAAGCCTCATGACTTAGCTCTTCCATGGCCCATTATCCGAGAGAGGGGGCCGGCGGCAGGGGGCGAAGCCCTTACGGATAAGATACATGTAACAAACATATATGCTTATATCTACATGGACATACATTTAAACACACAAAACTGAAAAAATAGCCTGGCGAAGGACCCAACAATATGCAATTAGGAGCACCGCAATTGTGGATGCCATCCTCGCCCGCGCCCATTACGCGGCCACGAGCCGCGCGAAGGGCGCGCCGAATGCGCGGCGGGGCACACAACGCGAACGAAAACGATAGGTCTGAGCGCGGAAGACTGAGAGCGGGTGAGTCTGAGCGCGAGTGGGTCTGACTGTGTATGAGTCTGCGCGCGCGTGAGTCTACGCGCGTGAACGTCGACGCCCATGTGGGCACGCCCTTCACTACGGTCGCGCCCGCCCCCTCCCCGTCCTTTCCTCCCTGTTTTGCCCGCGCACGCCAATGTCCAGGGCTGCGGGCGCGGCG